AATATTTATATGTCTAATAAAAATTAATTATATAAAGACATATTTATTATATTTTTATCCTATACCCTTAAAATACATGATAAAAAATACTTTTATTTTTGTTCTACTTTCTTTCCTTTTTGTTTTTATGCCCCTTTCGTTCTAATTGTTCTTTTTTTTTTTTTGAGGATAATGGAATGGATTCATTACAAACCGCCATACGGCATCTACAAAGATAACAAACAGTAAGAACAACTGGAACAAAAGAACAGAGTAGACCCATATCCAGAGGCCGAAGGGGGTGCACTCAGCACTCGAACAACCACGAACGCCCCGGAAATACCACGGCCTTCGGTCGATCGATCCATCTGGGACGCCCTTCAATCTACCCTTGAAGAAATAGCACCAGGCTCCAGGATGCCGTGCGGTCACCCGATCTGGCGGCGGAAGACCCTCGGAAACCAGCAGGAGAGCCGCGGTGGGCGTCAGATCTGGAAGCCCTCGCGCGCGCCGCCTCAGATCCGCCGGAGGAGAAAGAAAGCCGCCGGATCTGCACCAAACAGAACAAAAAAAGAAAAACCCAACGAACCCCCACCAAGATCAACAGGAGAGAGCCACGGGTCGCCGGATCAGAAAAAACAAACTGTACAAGAAACAAAACTATACAAAACAACCAACAAACAAAAGAACAAAAGGGGTCACCGGAAAGGGACCCATAAACCGACAGACCCCGAAGGGTCATCGGAGGACGGAGCACAGGCCGGCTCCAGCATGCTTGAGCGGCCGGGGAGCCCCCAGCGGCTCAAGCATCAAAACGTCGGAAGCTCAAAGGCTTCCGACCAAAAAAACCACCGCGCCGGAAAAGGCAGGCAGATGCAAGAGAGAAGGGAGAGAAAAGGGGAAAGAAGAAAGAGAAAGTTTTTACTAAAGAGCTTATTGTCCCCACGCTTGGAATTTTCAGAATGTGATATTAACATAGGACAATGATATATGCTTCCTAGTTTACAATGCATTTTTGTTTTTTAGTTTTAGTCTATTATTATTTTTAAGGGGATATTTAGTCCAACAATCAAAATGAGAGGTGGTTATTATTTTACTTTTCAGTGCTAAGTGAAAAATTTTTTTTATATCACTAAAATAATAAAAAAAATATAAGTTAAATATAAAAAAAGTTATTAATTTATTTTTAATTTATTTTAAATTAGAAATGAGAGGTAGTTATTATTTTACTTTTCAGTGCTAATTA